AAGGTTGCAATACTTTTGTCCAGCCCATTTTTGGGGTTTTGTGTGACATTATGTCATATTTGCTTTTCTGCCTCTGTTTTATATTTGTTCCAATACATACAAAGGGAATAAACACGGCCATGATTGTACATTGTTGCAGCCGCTATAAATGTCAAAGCACTGTCAAAGAAATAGCAGAGCTCTCTGCAGGAACACTTTTTGCCGGACTGGAATTCTTCTTCTTCTTCATCCTCTTCTTCTTCTTCCTCTTCTTCTTCTTCCTCTTCTTCTTCATCCTCTTCTTCTTCATCCTCTTCTTCTTCATCCTCTTCTTCTTCATCCTCTTCTTCTTCTTCTTCTTCTTCCTCCTCTTCTTCTTCATCCTCAGCCTCTTCTTCATCATCTTCTTCATCCTCTACTTCATCCTCTTCTTCATCCTCTACTTCATCCTCTTCTTCTTCTTTTTGTCTTCCTCTTGCAGGTCACTCCTCACGCGCAGATTTTTTATTGGTAAAAAGATTGGCCGATTTGCCCATAATTGCCGCGAAAATCGGCCGATCTGCAAAATCGGCCGATCTTTTTCCAACTTTACCGATAAAAAAAATCTGCCAAAATACCGAAAAACGGCCGAACAATTAACCCACTAATGATCCGAAAATCGGCCGATTTTCGACCCATCTATGGTCTGCATTAGACTGATAAAAGACACTGAAACATTTAAGTTCACTGTTCATAAGAAGTATCAGCTGATGTGAACCATGCCTCACAAAAAGGAGCTCTCTGAAGACATATGATCAAGAATAGTTGCATAAGGCTAGAAAGGGATACAAAGCAATCTCGTAATGTTTAGGCATCCATCAGTTGACAGACCAATTTTCTACAAATGAAGACAGTTTAATACTGTGGCTACTCTTTCTAGAAGTGGGCACGCAGCCAAGATGACTCCTGAGACACAACGCAGAGCCCTCAATGAGGTAAATAAGAACCCTCAAGTAACAGCTAAAGGCTTGAAGACATTACTGGAACTGGCAAACATCCCTGTTCATGAGCCTACCATACATAAATCTTTGAACACGCATGGTGTACATGGTAGAACACCATGGAGGAACATTCTGCTCTCCATAAAAACATTGCTGAAGTTTGCAAAAGAGCTCCTTGGCAAACCACAACGCTACTGGAAAAAAAGTTTTGTTGACTGATGAAACAAAAGTTGAATTGTTCAGAAAGAATACCCAGCACTATGTATGGGGCAAAAAAGGCACAGCTTACCAATATCAAAACATCATCCCAACAGTGAGGTAGGGTGGAGGGAACATTATGATTTGGGCTTGTTTTCCTGCCTCAGGGCCTGGACCACTTCCCATCATTGAGGGGAAAATAAATTCCCAAGTTTACAAATATATTCTACATTTATATATATATATATATATTCAGAAATGTGAAACAGTCCCTCTCTCTCTCTGTGCGGGTGATGTGGGACGGTTTCTTTTTGGGGGCGAAAAGCAGTCTCTCTCTGTGTGGGGACAAAAATTATGGAGAAGTCTCAAACATAGGTGACAAAAAACTGATGGATTATATTAACCGCCCCTTCTATGCCAAAAATAAGAAATATGTTTTTTGCCTTTAAATCATATTGCTAATCACGTATGGTACTTGTTTGTAGCTTAAATATTGAAATTTGCACATAAAACTGTCATTTTGTAACTTTTGGAAGTGTCAGTAAAAACTTGGCTGTCAGTAAATTGTGGGTGTCAGTAAATTTCACTTTGGTAGGCTGGTAATACTGGCTGTCAGTAATAAAGAAACGGCACTCGCAGTGCTGTGAGACGATCTACTCACCTGTTCTGTTCTCATGGCCGCAGTATGCAGGATACAAATACACTTTTTTCCAGCGGGGTCAGCTGGCTAATGCTATTGTGTGTGCATATATATATATGTATATATATATATTGCCCCAGCCACGCTGGATGTCCTCTCCTGATTAGACTGGCCTTTACTACTGGAATGAGAGATAACAGCATACCTTCCAACTGTCCCCTGATTTCGAGGGGTAGTCCCTGCTTTGAAACAAAGTCCCTTTGTCCCTCATTCCTCCTCATTTGTCCCTCATTTTGGTCTGATCTATATAGTTGTATATAAAATGCATTATTTATCTTCCAAAAAGTGTTTCCCAGTGCTAAACCTTTCATCCAATTTCTAAATTGTTGCATTTGTAAACTTCAAAAGCCAGAATAAAGGAATGGTAATGGTTAAAAAAAGCACTTGTGGGCTTAACTAATCACTTAATATATTTTGGGACCTAATCCCACAAGGTTTCAAAGATTAATATATTTTATTTCTATAGTTTTGTCCCTCAAGGGACAAAGTACATGTAGTACTGTCAGGAATCTGGGTATGACCAGAAATGTGTGGACTGACACAGGGAAACGCAGGCTTCCGGTATAGTATAAACAATACAATTTATTAAAGACTAACAATACATAAACGCAGTGCAAAACATAACACAGTGCAACAAACCAAACCTCCAACAAACAACCATACATACAACACTAAACGTAGTTGGGCAGCCGGATCGGTAGCAAACGGGCAAACAAGGTACCAGGAGCAGGCAGGAGAGTGGTCAGGACTAGCCGAGGTCAGTACAGGCAGATTTCATGTAGAATCAGGATAGAAGCAAGCAGGATCAGGATACCGGGGCCAAGTGAAACAGAACAACAAGGCACTGACTGCAGGTCTGGCCATTCCTTAAATACACCTCCTGCAATCAGCCTCAGGTGATGGCTGATTGCAGGAGTGAGCTTCTGGTTGCTGAGAGCACCCGCTGGCCAGCCCAGGTACTGCAGCCCACAAGGCAGGTGAGTCCCACCACCATTCCTGACAAGTACTGATAAGTGCTTCCTAACCCTAGCTATGAGGTCCAAACTGCATCCATCCCCACTCCTCTTGCCATGGGTGGTAAGACAACAGCTAGGAAAGAGACAGACACTTCATTATGGCAGTAGTCTTCGCTCTGTGCTCAAGACAAGCAGTGGCAAAAGGAATGCGGCAGATAGTTGGATATGTCAGCATCTGCATTCCTCTTGCCACTGCTTGACTCTGGAGAGTGCTCTCAGTGGCTGTTATGAAGCAGCCATCTCCTTCCTAGCTGTTGACCGATCGGTCATGGCAGATGGGGGGAGTGCAATTTGGACCTCATAGCTGGGTTAGGAAACACCTCTCAGCATGGGACAAAGTACTACATGTGTTTTGTCCCATGGGGTACAAAACTATAACAAAAATATTGATAATTATCCTTTAAGTCTTGTAGACTTAGCTCTCAGAGTACATTAGGCACCGTTAGCAGAAAGGTGAAACCTGAATGTCTCATATGGCCAGTCTGGAGCCACTTAGCCAGTAAAGTGGCATGGCAGACTGTTTTATCAGTAATATTAGGATTAGCCTCATATGGTATTATAGTAACATAGCAGTAAAGAAGATAAGTATGGCATTGACTCCAGAACACGTTGTTGGAAATGACTTGTGTTCATACATGTCGAGAAGCTGAGCATTATTTGACCATGTTTGTAGCCAACATAATGGCTCTTAATAACTGATGTGCATGTGTGTAAATATATATATTCTTCTCTAACTGCTCTGGCTGTAGGTGACACAGGAGACAGAGGAGCAAATGGCGAGAAAGGTGATTTTTTTAATATATATATATATTTGCAGTGTGGGCATTGCTTTGTTAGTAGACTGAGCACTAACAGAGCCTCTGCTTTACTATCAGGTATCAGTGGAAAGGCCTGCCCTTCTACCTCCTATGGTGAGTTTGTTTTTTTTCATAAACCAAAGAGAAGTTTGAATTTCACGTGGCACTTTTAGTATGCAAGAAATGCAGCCTATTGGTAGAGGAATGCCATGCCTTCATCTGAACATGGGTGTGAATGGAGGGCCTGGGGCATGGCCAGAGATATATTTTTTATTTCAGGTACTTATATAGCACTGTCAATATATGTATGTACATATATATTGTACATTCATATCAGTCCCTAACCCTCAAGGGGTGTCCAATCTAAGGTCCCCAACTTACATTCATACACATACTAGGGCCAATTTAGACAGGATCCAATTAACCTACCATCTGTCTTTGGAGTGTGGGAGGAAACCCACACAGGCACAGGGAGAACATGAAAACTCCAGGCAGGTGGTGCTGTGGCTGGGATTTAAACTAACAACCCTAGTACTGCTAGGCGGAAGTGCTAACCATTTAGCCACTGTGCTGCCCATATTAAGGGGAATATACTAAGAATCTGGAGCAGCCGTGCATAGCAATCAATTGTCTTCTAGATTTCATTTTCAAAGCTTAACTCAGGGGTGTCAAACCAGTGTCCCTCCAGCTGTTGCGAAACTACAAGTCCCATCATGCCTTTGCCTTTGGGAGTCATGCTTGTAACTGTCAGTCTTGCAATGCCTCATAGGACTTGTAGTTTCGCAACAGCTGGAGGGCCACCAGTTTGACACTCGTGGCTTAACTGAACTAAATGAAGCTGTCAGCATCAATTTTAGTAAATTGGCCGCATTGCATCCAGATAAAAGTTAGTAGTATTGTTCTTTAGTTTATTTCCTGTGCCATTGTAAATTAGTGAAAAGGCAGAGCCGAGTGTTTAGTACCACCTAAGGGAGGTGGCAATACAAGGTATTTTTTTGTATTTATTTATTCCAGGCATTTATATAGTGCTGACAATTTATGCAGCTCTTTACATATGCTGCTCAAAAACCGTGTATAGGCTGCAGGGATTCAAATCAATGGCCATTCCCAGGACATAGGGATATAAGGACCAGAACTCTTTGGTTTACTTTGTATGGAGTATTGATAACCTTTACCTGTGAGTCCAAGATTGGACACATTGTTGGTAGATTTCTGCTTCATAGCTTAAAATTCATTAACAGCACTATAAAATATACAGTAAATCTGTCTGTCTGTCTTTTTATATATATATATATATATATATATATGTGTGTATATATTTTTATATATATATATATATATATGTGTGTGTGTATATATTTATATATATATATATATACTGTATATATTTTTTATTTATTTTTTTTTGTCCTGTTATTATGTCTTAGTTCCCAGAAACTGTAAGGAGCTGCTGGATAAGGGAGAAGTCTTCAGTGACGTGTACACCATATTCCCTGTCGGCCGGACACCCCTGACAGTGCTGTGTGATATGCACACTGACGGAGGAGGCTGGATTGTAAGTCATCACTAAGAACGTAGTTTATGTTGCACTTACAGTTGTGCTCAAAAGTTTGATTACCCCTGGAAAATTGTATACAGTATGTACCATTTTTAAAAAAAATCATGAGTGAGCAGGTATAACACATTTTTTTTATTTCTTATGGGATTCATATTTCACTGTAGGTCATAACAGAATGGCACAATCATAAAACCAAATGAAATGCCCCCTGTTCAAAAGTCTGCATACCCTTAGCTCTTAATACTGTGTATTGCCCCCTTTTAGCGTCTTTTGTAATAGTTGTCTATGAGGCCCTGAGTTCTTTGCAGGTGGTATAGATACCCATTCATCTTGGCAAAATGCATCCAGGTCATGCCAAATCTTTGGTCGTAATGCATGAACCGCACATATGAGATCTCCCCAAAGTGGCTCAATGATATTTAGGTCAGGAGACTGTGATGGAAACTCCAGAACCTTCACCTGTTTCTGCTGTAACCACTGGAGGGTCAACGTGGCCTTGTGCTTAGGGCCATTGTCGTGCTGAAAGTCCAAGAGCATCCCATGGGCAGCTTTCGTGCAGAAGAATGGGAATTGTCTGCCAGTATTTTCTGATAACATGGTGCATTTGTCTTGTTATCAATTTTCACAAGATTCCCTGTGCCTTTAGAGCTCACACACCCACAAAACATCAGTGAGCCACCACCATGCTTCACAGTGGGGATGGTATTCTCCCAAACATAGCTCTTATGGTTGTGACCATGAAGTTCTATTTTGGTCTTGTCTTCTCACTCCAGATTGTAGTGTCGGGCATATTGTAACCAGACTTTTTTGTAGCATTAGCACAGAAAAGACTCCTTTCTGGCAGTTCGACCATGCAGCTCATTTTTGTTCAAGTATTGTCGTATTGTGATCCTTGAAACAATCACACCGTCTTTTTCCAGAGCAACCTGTATATCTCTTGATGTTACCTGTGAATTTGTCTTTGTATCTCAAACAATTCTTCTGGCAGTTCTGGCTGCAATTTTTCTTGGTCTACATGACCTTGGCTTGGTATCAAGAGATCCCCAAATTTTCCACTTCTTAATAAGTGATTGAACAGTACTGATTGGCATAATCAAGGCTTTGGATATCTTTTTATATCCTTTTCCATCTTTATAAAGTTAATTTACCTTGTTACACAGGTCTTTTGACAGTTTTTTTCTGCTCCCCATGGCTTAGTATCTAGCCTATTCAGTGCATCCACTTGACAAAAATTAACAAACTCATTGACTATTTTTACACAGACACTAATTGCAATTTAAAAACCCACAGATGTGGGAAATAACCATTTTTTTGCATAATCAGTCAGATTTTCAAAATGAATGCCTACATTTTCCAATTTCTGCCAGGGTATGCAAACTTTTGAGCATTGTGTGATAAATAAACTGCACAGTAGCATATTGGGGACTTTGGTGAAATATCTAAATAGACCTCTGATATTTCACCTTTGAGACAGAGAAAGGAAATTTAGGACACAGCCCAGTTACATCTGGCGTAAAACTAACATGACATCCAGTTTACTGTGCTTCAGTTTGTGAATGGACACAGGAGTAATCAGTACTGATCATTCGCTCTGTCCATTCAGAAAAGGAAGGGGCTAGTAAATTACATATTGACTGTCTCCTTCCCCCACCCTTTATCCTGAAACATCCCCCACAGCAGTTGGCAGGAGAGGGGAAAGGGGAAACGCTGGTAGGGGACAAGGGACAGGGCAGTGAAGCACACGGGAGCCTGGAGGCAGCAGGAAATAAGTAACCTAGATAGGAGGGGTGGTGATGGGGGCATATAGAAGAACTGATGCCCTCCATTTTTCTCCAGCAGCCACTTAATGATGGCGAGAGGTAGAGAAGCTGGCTTTCAGCGGCTGCTGGAGGAAAATGGAGGGCATCAGATCCTCTATATGCTGACCCCACCACCCTTTTTATCCAGTAGAACTAAATGTGACAAGGGGGGCTGCACAGACCCCTGGAGCATGGGGCCAGATCGCAATTGCAACCCCTATAGCTACACCAGTGTATAATAGACCTTGTTACATAGAAACTGACTGCCAGCCTTCAAGAGATGGCACTTCCTTCATCAGGCTTAAAATGGTTGTAAAGGCAAAAAGGTGTTTTACCTTAATGCATTCTCTGCATTAAAGTACAAAACCTTTATGTATCTTTGCCATTCCCCTCACCCCAAACACTTACCTGACACCACTCGATCCAGCGTTGTCCCCGCCAGCAGCCCCGCTCACCTCTCTTCCTCTTATCATTCATATTCTGTGACGGGATACGGGAGAGCAGGGGGGGGGGGCCGAGCTGGGCTGTGTGTGTCAATAGACTCACACAGCCCATCTTGGGAACAAGTGGCATCCTATGGGGGCCAGGCATAAGAGGTGGAGCAGAGAGCACAAGTAGGGAAATTCCAGGAGAGGAGGTTCGGGGCCACTCTTTGCACCTTTGCACAGAATAGATATGTATACCACGTTTATTATTTTAATAAAACAAAAGAACCTTTACCAACGCTTTAACCTATTCATGGTTCTTGTGTCACAGTCAGGAACACATCTCCTTTGTTTATCTCATTGATATTCACTGATTTTAAAATCTCCAGAAAAAATGATATTGTATCTTCTTAATCTAGGTCTTCCAGAGACGTTGGGATGGATCCGTAAATTTCTATCGTGGCTGGAAATCCTATAAGACTGGGTTTGGCAGCCTTTTGACAGAGTTCTGGTTGGGAAACGAAAATCTTCACTGGCTTACATCATCAGGTAATACACTAAATACAATATATAATAAAATCTCTTGGCTTGGATCTGGCAAAATTCTATTTGGATCGGTTCTGAGATATACAGTGCTGTGAAAAATATTTGCCCCTTCCTGATTTTTTTTTTTTTTGCATATTTGTCACACTTAAATGATTCAGATCATCAAACAAATTTTAATAGTATACAAAGATAACCCGAGTAAATAAAAATGCAGTTTTTAGATGTTGATTTAATTTATTAAGGGAAATAAGCTGTCCAAACCTGCCTGAACCTATGTGAAAAAGTAATTGCCCCCTAAACCTAATAACTAGTTGTGCCACCCTTAGCAGCAACAACTGCGGTTAAGCATTTGCATAACTGGCAATGAGTCTTTCACATCTCTGTGGGGGAATTTTGGCTCACTCTTCTTTGCAGAATATTTTCAATTCAGCCACATTGCAGGGTTTTCAAAATGAACGGCCTGTTTAAGTTCATACCACAGCATCTCAATTGGATTTAAGTCCGGACTTTGACTAGGCCACTCCAAAACCTTAATTTTGGTGGACTTGCTGGTGTGTTTTGGATCATTGTCCTGCTGCATAACCCAAGTGCACTTGAGCTTGAGGTCATTAACTGATGGCCGGACATTCTCCTTCAGGATTTTTTTGGTAGAATGTAGAATTCATGGTTCCATCAATTATGGCAAGTCGTCCAGGTCTTGAAGCAGCAAAGCAGCCCCAGACCATCACACTACCACCACCATGTTTGACTGTTGGCATGATGTCTTTTTTATGAAATGTCATGTTAGTTTTACGCCAGATGTATCAGGAGGTGCACTTTCCAAAAAGTTCAACTTTTGTCTCATCAGTCCGCAGAATATTTGCACAAAAGTCTTTGGGATAATCAAGATTATTTTTGGCAAATGTGAGATGAGCCTTAGTATTCTTTTTTGGTCAGTGCTGTCTTTGGCTTGGTTATCTCCCATGGATGTCATTTTTGCACAGTCTTTTTCTTATTTTTGAATCATGACCTTAACTGAGGCAAGGGAGGCCTGCAGTTCTTTCAATGTTCTATGTTCTTTTATGACCTCCTGGATGAGTCATTGTTGTGCTCTTGGAGAAAGTTTGGTAGGTTGACCACTCCTGGGAAGGTTCACCACTGTTCCAAGTTTTCTCTTTTATAGATAATGGCTCTTACCGTGGTCCTCTGGAGTCCCAAAGCCTTAGAAATGGCTTTGTAACCCTTTCTAGACTAATACATGTCAATTACTTTGTTTCTCATTTGTTCCTGAATTTATTTAGATTGCGGCATGATGTGTAGCTTTTTTAGATCTTTTTGCGTGCTTTACTTTGTCAGACAGATTCTGTTTAAGTGATTGCTTGATTCTGGCTGTAATCAGGCCTGGGTGTGGCAAGTGAAATTTAAGCTTTCCAAAAACTGTGATTTTGTGATGTAGCGTGATTTAGCAAGGGGGGGGGGGGAGCAATTGCTTTTTCACATATGGCCAGGCAGGTTTGGACAACTTTTTTCCCTTCTTAAATGAAATCAGCATTTAAAAACTGCATTTTCTATTTACTTGGGTTATCTTTGTGTAATATTAAATAATGTTTGATGATCTGAATTATTTAAGTGTGACAAATATGAAAAAAAAAATCAGGAAGGGGGCAAATACTTTTTCACAGCACTGTATTTTATGGGCATGAATTCACCTTGTTTTGTGAGTATATACTGTATGCGTTTTTATACGATCCCAGTTATTAAATTTACTTATCATGAGAAGGTGCACTATCTCTTCCTGGCCATAGATGGACCAAAGGTTCAGTCGGTGCTTAAACAAGCTTTCTGCTATGCTTGAGCCGATCAATCTTCCTATGATTCTGGGTTCAGCTGACCTAAGCACAGCAGAAATGGAGAACCTTCCCAATATGGCTTCCCCTCCCTTGTACAACATCCTGATTTTTCTGTTGTCCTTACTAACAATTTGTTTCGCTGTTGACACTATACACATGAAAAATGGCAGTTGAATGGTGTGTGTTCGGTCATCATTTAGTCTGGGTATGGCCAGCTTTATAAAAGGTTATAAAGTACGTTGCAACTATATGATTTGTTGCTGTAACTGATCACAATAAACCATGAAAGCGGGGGGGTCACATGGGCTGAGTGATAAGTATCAACCCACTATATTCCACGCGCAAAGCATGGAGGATCCTACAGTACAAGTGGGGCCTGAGCATCTTCATTTTTCCCCTGCTGCCTTTTGTCAGAAACCACCATAGACATCTATGAGAGACCTCCTATCAAACAGAGAATGACAAGATCCGTATCATGCAACCTTATTATGGCAGAACCTGAATGTTGGCTATCTCAACTGCAACCCAGAGTTATCAATGAGGATGCTGTCAATGGAGCACGAGGGACTTTCTAAGCTGTGCACAAATCTTCATTTTTGGACTCTGTTCCAAGTTAATACTTTTCATCACAATAGGCACTGTGCTGACATTACATAATTGTGCTGTCTATCGGTCTTTATCTAGCAATGTCTCTGTCTGCTCTGCGACTCCACAGCTGTCTCTGCCTCACCCTTAGTTCTATGCACTTAATAGTGATCCTGGGCACTTTTCATGTGTACCAAAGTGAGCCACATAGAGGCAAACCAAGCTACTATCAGACCTCACTCATTCTTTAGATGTTATAACAATGGAGGGTATGGCACGCACCCTCCAGGTATTGTTGCTGGGTGGTCTGTGGATAGGTCAACTCTAGAAGATGGCCTTGTTACTCGTTATCAGGCACAAGCAATTAAACAATTCTTACACTGTGACTTCTTAGCAGTGTGGTGTATATTATACCTACCATTAGTAGATACTCAATGATCAATGCCCCTATGTACATGCACTTATGATAGCATACATTACTCTTGCACATTCCACCACAACCTAAGCCTGCCATTTTTCCCCAGATGGGTTGTCCCATCTGCACCTTGCATAGATCCTATCCCTTTACTATCCTTACATAGATGGCCCTTCCTTCCCTAGATGGAAATTAGCTTATGTGTGTATGATAGCACTGGACGGATGGAAGTGAAAATGGGCTCTGATGGATATAGCCTAAGGTGCTTTTTTCTTTAAAGAAACAGATCTATGATGAAAATATGGCGTGGATTGACCCTGTTCTGGACATAGACTGCTACCTCTCTGTTAGTAATAAAGTGAGTGCTCGTCACACAGTAAATTGGATGTGTACAGAGGAGTGCCTGGTACAAAAGTTCATCTCACTTAAAGGACTTTTTGAAACATTTATTGGTTAGGGGCATCAAATACAACCAATGCATTTTGGGGAAAAAAAAACCCTCCCCCCTTCTTCAGGGCTTGGGCAGAACAGAATCACAACAAAATGCATTAGGGGACCTGTGCTATGGCCTGACAAAGACTTGTGTCTCCTGACGGTACTAAAGATGCACACTTTACTGATTGCAATTGTTGCTTTTGCATTGGCTTCTTCTCAGTCTGTGACAGTTCTTTAGACATTAATGTGAGATAGAGGACATATACATCGATCAGCCATAACTTCATGACCACTGACAGGTTAAGTGAATAACATTAATTATCTTGTTACAATGGCATCTGACAGTCATGGGATACATTAGGCAACAGCGAGAAGCACCTACAATGGGCATGTGAGCATCAGAACTGGACCATGAGCAATGGAAGAATGAGGCCTGGTCTGATTAATCACATTTTCTTTTACATCATGTGGATGGCTGGGTGTATGTGCCTCACTTACCAGGATGTAGTATAGGAAAAAGGCAAACCGACAGAGGCAGTGTAATGCTTTAGGAAATGTTCTGCTAGGAAACCTTGAGACCTGCCATTCATCTGGATGTTACTTTGGCAGGTACCACCTTGCTAAACATTGTTGGCGACCAAGTACACCCCTTCATGGCAACAGTATTTCCTGATCTCAGTGGCCTCTTTCAGCAGGATAATGCACCTGACTCACTGCAAAAATGGTTCAAGAATGGTTTGAGGAACACAACAATGAGTTTGAGGTGTTGACTTGGCCTTCAAATTCTCCAGATCTCAGTCCATCAAGCATCTGTGTGATGTGTGGGAAAAACAATTCCTATCCATGGAGGGCCACTATGCAACTTACAGGACTTAAAGGATCTTCTACTGATGGCTTGGTGGTAGATACCACAGCAAACCTTTAGAGGTCCAGTGGAGTCCATACCTCAACAGGTCAGGGCTATTTTGGTGGCAAAAGGGGTACCTACTCTTTATTAGGTGGGTGGTTATGGCTGACCGGTATATATGCATGTTGTGTTGATGCAGGAGAACAATCGACCAGAAGAGAATATACACAAAGAACATTCAATTTAGCTCTCACAATATCTAACTATATCACACAGAACATGCACAGTGTACATGTACATGCAGTTTTGCTGGGCGAATAGCTATGCACATTTTTTCATAAATAGCCACCCTATTCATTTATTTGTGTAATACAACAGACTTGTCCTCTGCTTGTCCTTCATGCTTCATATAGAATACATATACAGGTGTACCTCGGTTTATGAATTTAATGTGTTCTCTGGGACGTTTTGTATTGCAAAAAATTTGTGAACCGAAACGCGGTTTCCCATAGGAATGCATTGAAAACCAATTAATCCGTTCCGGAGGTCAGAAAAGAGATAAAAAAAGTCTTCTATCTGTTCAAAACTCTTTATAAAGTGCACTTGAAAGGCATAAATACTGTACAGGGACAGGATTAATCAAGCAATAACTCAATGCAAAAACCACTCCAACACCTCCACACTCAACGCCACGTGCTACCCACAGACTCCAGCATGCACAGTTGCATAAACCTCGCAGGTACAATGCATCCTAGGGAAACTTACTTCGTATTGCTAAAAAATTTGTAAAAAATTTGTAAACCGAGGCATTATTTTCAATGGATTTTCATTCGTAAACCGAAAATTACATTAACCGAGGCGTTCGTAAACCGAGGTACGCCTGTAGTTCATGTAAAGAAGCCAGATTGCGTAAATAATAGATCAGAGTAAACATTTTCTTTTTCTTTTCATAGGAAAATGGGAACTGCGAATTGACCTGGAGGACTTTTACACCAAAAAATTATTTGCCAAATACTCAACCTTCAAGGTCTTATCAGAGTCTGAGAAATACAAATTATTGGTAGGCAACCTTGAGAAAGGAAATATATGTAAGTACCTGTAAGAATATATAAATACTGTACATTATGACTCCAATTGTTGTGAGTGACTATCCCTCAATGAGATCTCTATGCCTGGCTTTAATATAGCAGAAACACCAGACAATCTTCATCAGATAGTAGAACTCACTAAACACTTCAAATCCATGATTGTCTTGCATGCAAAACACCGAAGCAATACAATAAGATGCTGCAGACTTGATATAGAACTGCTTAAGGAGGCAAAAAAGAAGTATTGTCTTTCCCTGCCCCAATGTGTGTCTAGTAAGGGAGGAAAGGTTAGAGAAACTCCCGCAAAGGAAAAGGAAATGACCTCACAAGAAGAGGAAGGAAATACGGAAAACGACATGTGATAGAAAAAATGATCACAAAGTGGCAACATAATAAAAAACAATTAACCATAGAACAACATAAGGATGAAACTTAATTTCCCATATACTGCACAGGCAGCACAAAATGCAAATGAGATTAACCCCTTATAGTGATGTGTAAGATTGCTGAATAAATATATACAGTTGTGTTCAAAATAATAGCAGTCAGACATCACTAACCGGATCAATCACTGTTTTTGGTAGAAATGATATTTCTACATGGCAAATAATTTACTAGCAGGTGTAGTAGAGTAATAGAAATCCAACAGACCCAACAGTCATGACATGCATGCTGCTGATTCTGTGTAATTGAATCACTAATTGAAAGGGGCATGTTCAAAATAATAGCAGTGTGGAGTTCTATTAGTGAGGTCATTCATTCTTTGAAAAACAGGTGGCAATTATTGCCCTTATTTAAGGAAGGAAGGCAGCAAATGTTGTACATGCTGGTTACAGTGCATTTCTCTCTGAAATTCTGAGGAAAATGGGTCGTTACAGACATTGTTCAGAAGAACAGCGTACTTTGATTAAAAAGTTGATTAGAGAGGGGAAAACATATAAAGAAGTGCAGAAAATGATAGACTGCTCAGCTAAAATGATCGCAAATGCTTTAAAATGGCAACCAAAACCTGAAAGACGTGGAAAAAAGTGAAAAACTACTATTCGAATGGATAGAAGAATAGCCAAAATGGCAAGGACTCAGCCAACAATCAGCTCCAGGAAGATCAAAGAAGGTCTAAAGTTACCTGTGAGTACTGTTACAATTAGAAGACGCCTATGTGAAGCCAAGCTATCTGCAAGAAGCCCCCGCAAAGTCCCACTGTTGAAAAAAAAAGACATGTGCTGAAGAGGTTACAATTTGCTAAGGAGCACATTGACTGGCCTAAAGAGAAATGGCGCAACATTTTGTGGACTGATGAAAGTAAGATTGTTCTTTTTGGGTCTAGTGGCCGGAGACAGTTTGTCAGACGACCCCCAAACACTGAATTCAAGCCACAGCACACTGTGAAGACAGTGAAGCATGGTGGTGCAAGCATCATGGTATGGGGATGTTTCTCATACTACGGTGTTGGGCCTATTTATCGCATACCAGGGATCATGGATCAGTTTGAATACATCAGAATACTTGAAGAGGTCATGCTGCCTTATGCTGAAGAGGAAATGCCCTTGAAATGGGTGTTCCAACAAGACAACGACCCCAAACACACCAGGAAACGTGCAACATCTTGGTTCCAGACCAACAAGATTGACGTTATGGAGTGGCCAGCCCAATCCCCGGATCTTAATCCAATAGAAAACATTTGGGGTAACATCAAAAATGCAGTTTCTGAGAGGCAAAACCAAGAAATAGAGAAGAACTGTGGAATGTAGTCCAATCATCCTGGGCTGGAATACCTGTTCACAGGTGCCAGAAGTTGGTTGACTCCATGCAACACAGATGTACAGCAGTTCTCAGAAACAGTGCGACTACAACCAAATATTCATTAAGTGATTCAAAGGAAAGCAAAATCTTCAGACATTTTTCAGTTTATATAGTGAATGTTTGAGTTTGTAAAGAAGAATACAAACACTGCTATTTTTTTGAACAGTCTAATATTCACTTTTCTTCAATTTGTTTTAGAGGAACAACACAAATTTGATATTTTTCTTCATGTTTTGATTTGGAATAGAATGTGTCGTGTTCCCAATGCATTTGTGTGTATGGAAATAAAAGCTATTAGAAGGATTTTGAGCTTTATTCACTTTTTTCAACACACTGCTATTATTTTGAACAAACTGTACATATACTGTATATCAAACATATTTGTCCTGTAACATAACTTTATTTGAAATTAAATTGGTTTCTGATCACCAGTGACAATATATTTATCCTTCAAAAGCTCCATTTGTAGATGATAAAATTTGGTACTATTATATGATGGCAGAGGCCTTCCACTAATTATTAATATCTCTCCCAAAGCAGCAGATTGAGACGCCTCCCTAACACAACCTCCCCCAAACCCCAACCTCCCCCAAACCCCCATTCTGGAGAGGAGCAGACAGAATCTGGAGCATCCGAGTGTAAAAAAACAGATTCTAGCTTTGATTTTCCAAGCTTAAGTCAGAAACTGATTGGTTACTATGCACAGCTGCTCCATATTCTGTCTGCTCCAGTTGTAGTAAATTCTTACAACTGTGTCCTTGAAAGGGGACTGGAGGACCATAACGGCAGAAGAGAGCCTTATATCAGCAACCTTAAGACAGGCGAGGCACTAACCCAGCTTCATGGGAGGAAAATCAGTGGCATTGCCACATGGATGAAATATATGTTTGAAATATATTTTTAAAATATTCTTCCTAAATATATTGCCATATATTTGAAATGCTACAATTTTGGCCATATTCAATATATTCCAAAATATGTTTCAATAAATATATATATATATATATATATATATATATATATATATATATATATATATATATACTGCATGTTGAAATGCGTTTTTATCACAAAATATATGAAACTTTTTTTTTAAAAATACATTTCAAATATACTGTGTCTTTAAAAATACAAATCTGCATTTTTGGAACGCATTTACAAATATATGTAAAAATGACTTTTGTATATTTGGAATGTATTTTTAAAAATATTTTTCATATATTTTGTAATAGAAACGTATTTCAACATGCAGTGTATATATATATATATATATATATATATATATATATATATATATATACTGTAAGGCTCTCTTCTGCCATTATGGTCCTCCAGTCACCTTTCAAATATTTATAAATATATTTTTCTTCCATATGGGTGTGACAGCCATATTATTGGTAACAGTCTGTAGAATGGTGTAGATTAGATAGATAGATAGATAGATAGATAGATAGATAGATAGATAGATAGATTTTGTGCTATTGGGGTGATTATGCTCATGTGGTAAATGAGCCAGCCCAAACTGTGGCTGTATTGGACTGGATATATACTACAGGAGAGGTTCAGAGACTGCGGACATACTGCAGGAGAAGGTCAGGGACTGTGGAGAAGATACAGGATACAGTCAGAGACTGTGGACAGGATATGGTCAGAGACTGAGGACAGGATACAGGAGACTGCTGACAGGATACGGTCAGAGACTGTGGACAGGATACAGGAGATGATCACAGACTGCGGACAAGATACGGTTGAATACTGCGGACAGGATACGGTCAGAGACTGCGGACAGGATACGGTCAGAGACTGCGAACAGGATACAGGAGACTGTGGACAGAATACGGTCAGAGACTGCAGACAGGATACAGTAGACAGTCAAAGACTGCGGACAGGATATGGTCAGAGACTGTGGACAGGATACGGTTAGAGACTGCGGATAGCATACAGAAGACTGCAGAAAGGATACTGTCAGAGACTGAAGACAGGATGCGGTCAGAGCCTATGGACAGGATACGGTCAGAGACTACGGACAGGATACGGTCAGAGACTGCGGACAGCATACAGAAGACTGCAGAAAGGATACTGTCAAAGACTGAAGACAGGATGCGGTCAGAGCCTATGGACAGGATACGGTCAGAGACTGCGGACAGGATATGGTCGTAGCCTGCGGACAGTATATGGTCAGAGACTACGGACAGGATACAGAAGATAGTTAGCCGAGCCTGCTCCTCGCTCGAGCCCTGACGAGCCCTCCCCCCTGCCCAAGCACTGCCGAGCCTGTCCCCCGCCCAAGCACTGCTGAGCCTGTCCCCCACCTGACCACTGGCGAGACCACCCCCCATCCGAGCACTGCTGAGACACCATTGGTCCCTTCATCCTGGGGGGTGTCGCCATCCCCCCTTAAAAATGCCAAGTTTACCTCATGGCAGATATGCCCCTGATTATAACCCCTGTAAGGGGGTCCCATTGGGGAGATTTCCTTTCACTTCCTGTCCCATAGCCAAAACAGGAAGTGAAAGGAAATCTCTCCGAAGTGTGAGAATTCATGGTTGTCAGCAGCACTAGTATTCCCATTGGAAGATTTCCCTGCAATTCCTATTCTGGGGCCAACCCCAATCTTTATTTTTTTTTTTTTTTTTACAAATAGGGAGAGTGAATCTTCCTAAAGGCAACACAGACAGCAATAAAGATCTGTCATGTTCTCTTATCCTTCTCCACTCTATCCAAAGCTAAAAAAAAGTTTTACTTGTAGTTTTCTCCTTGGACGCTACTGAGATACATATTCAGTATTGTTCTGTTTATTTCTCCCTCAGATGATGCCATGAAATCCCACAATAACCAATATTTCAGCACCCACGACCAGAGCACTGAGGAGAATCAGGGCTTAGAGACCTGTGCAAAGACTTTTAACGCGGGCTGGTGGTTTACAAATTGCTATCAGGCTAATCTAAATGGAGTATATAAACTACCAAAGGAAAACTCCTCTTTATTGGGTGTTGAATGGAAAACAAATGGAGAATGGATCTCCTACAAGCATTCTGAAATGAAAATAAGACCTATTTGATTCTATAGCATTGCAAAGCCATATACCATATAAACTGTGAAGATAGTAAAGTATACATATATATGTGATTGATGCAAATAAGTGTCTGTCTTAATTTCTGATTGGATGAAATCAACTGCCAATGTGATCATGCAAATTTGTTGCAAACCACATGTTCCATGGTCCTTCGAAGTGTCTCATAGTTGACCTTACAAATGGCATAAAAGTGTCCATAAGGAAAATCATTGTCGTATATGTTTGATTTGTTTTTGAGATTGTATTCCATCTATTGGGAAATATTGGGAAAAAATAAATGAATAAAATATTTCCAAATATCTATTAGAAAAAGTAATTGAGCTTTGTCCCTGAAATTCATAAAGCCTGGCACAGACAGATTTTGTGGGAGTGGTTTGCAGGCATTTTAAAAGTGGCACAGCGTGCGCAAGTTCATGCTTCTCTCTAGAACTTGAATTTGGCGCAATGTTTTTACAACCGTCTAAACTTTCATAAGGTAACATCTTCAATGGAGACCTATCAAATGACAGCAGGCCTGGACTGGGACACAAAATAGGCCTGGGCATTTTAAACTGAGCAGCCAATTTCCGGGGTGGGGGGGGGGGGTGCAAGGGCATTCGTGGGGTCAGTTGGTGACAGAATATTCACAGAGTCGGTCCTCCACACTGTAATATAAATGGGTACTGTGATATAAAGGGGATTGCACTGTAAAGGGGCACTGTATTGATTACATTGCCCCTTTACAGCGCAGTCCCGTTTACATCACAGTGCCCCATTACATTACAGTGCCCCTAGAGATATAATCACAGTGCCCCCTATATATTCAAAGAGATGGCCCAATCCAGCAAAGAGACATCCCCATCCAGCAAAGAGACATCCCCATATAGCACAGAAACAGCCCAGTCCAGCAAAGAGACATCCCCATCCAGCAGAGACATCTCCATGTAGCAAAGAGATATCCCAATCCACAAAGAGACTGGATGTCTCCTTGCTGGAACAGGGATGTCTATTTGCAGGATGGGGATGTCCCTTCTTGGACTGGGCTATCTCTTTTCTGTATTGGGATGTCTCTTTTGCTGGACCCAACTGGACAAAAGAGATAGCCCAGCAAAGAGATAGTCCAGCAAAGAGACATCCACATCCAGCAAAAAGACAGTCCAATCCAGAAAAGAGACATCGCTGTCCAGCAAAGAGACAGCCTGTCCAGCAAAGAGACATCCCATCCTGCAAAGAGCTCATCCAGCAAAGTGACATCCTTCCCAGCAAAGAGAAAGCCCCATCCAGCAAAGAGACAGCCCATCCAGCAAAGAGATAGCCATCTGGCAAAGAGACATCCCATCCTGCAAAGAGCTCATCCAGCAAAGTGACATCCTTCCCAGCAAAGAGACAGCCCCATCCAGCAAAGAGACAGCCCATCCAGCAAAGAGATAGCCGTCCGGCAAAGAGACAGCTTGTCCAGCAAAGAGACAGCCCTTCCAGCAAAGAGACAGCTTGTCCAGCAAAGAGACAGCCCATCCAGCAAACAGACAGCTCAACCAGCAAAGAAACAGGTCATCCAGCAAAGAGACAACCCGTTCAGCAAAGAGACAGCCCATCCAGCAAAGAGACAGCTCAACCAGTAAAGAGACAGCCCCTCCAGCAGAGACAGCCCACCCAGCAAAGAGACAGCCCACCCAGCAAAGAGACAGCCCATCTAGCAAAGAGACAGCCCGTCCAGCAAAGAGACAGCCCATCCAGCAAAGAGACAGCCCCATCCACCGCTGTTACAGACCTGTCACAGTGTGTTGGCGGGTGAAGAAGAGAGGCCGCCATTGTCTCTCCAGTGCAGCAACCAGCCAAGTAGGTGTCCCTGTGTCAGCGGCGCTTCCTGCTTGTTACTGCCGCTCCCCCTGTCGGCCCTGCTTTAGGTATAGCCACACAGCGGGAGGTGAGCGGCGGCCGCAGTCTGTATTAGCCCCGTTCAGACTGCTGTGCAGCATGGTCATCTTGAGCCTGGCGGCCCCTGCCCACTGGGAAGATGCTCGGTGTGCCCTATGGCCATTCCAGGCCTGAATGACAGTACTATATTCAATAACATCCCTATTTTAAGAATTTTCCAAGATTTAGTATTGTGTTCTATTATTGCAATGTTGGTGAACTTGCTATACTATACATAAAAAAAGAAATTGTAGTTAAAAAGAAACACTGTGGTGTCCTGCTTAGATCTGCTGCCATGCATTGGTTTGATTCCATAGTTATTTTCGACTTTTTATTATTGCATTTTAGAATTTGTAAGGTCCATAAATTAAATTTCAAATAAATTGTAAAAACAGCAGAGGGCACATCTGATTGCAGTGGGATTGTGAATTGTCTATCCAAATAAAAATGTTCTAACCGTCTCCACTCAGATGCGCCCTCTGTTTTTATTAATTGCTCTAGAGAACCTTCAGTTTCTTAATGCGGAGTTCCACCCATAAGTGGAAGCTCTGCTTTTCTGCCTCCCTCCCCTCCGCTGCCACATTTGTCACCTTTTGGGGGGGTGGGGGAGCAGGTTCCTGATTGTGACAGGTACCCATTCCCACTTCGCCGCGGCAAACTGAAACAGAAGTTTGGCACACCCCGCAGCCCTCTGGGACACTTCCAAGGTCCCAGGAGACTGCAGCCCATTCACAAAGGGCTGCACGCTTCGCGCATGCACAGTAGGAAATCTTAGTTTCCCTTAGTCAAGAAGGTGGCGCCAGCACCCGACAGCGGAATGAAAAAATGGGTCAGGGTGAGGACACCACTGGATGCCTGGACAGGTAAGTGCCCTACTATTAAAAGTCAGCAGCCACAGTATTTGTACCTGCTGACTTTTAATTTTTGGGGGGAGGTGGCGGGGGCCAGAACTCTGCTTTAAAGAGGTGCTGCTCAAAGTGTCTGGGAACCCCACAAGAACTGCGTTTGAATGTACCACGACTCCACTATAAGTCTTCTACACTTCTGAGCCACTGTCCTAGCCCTAAACAAATAACCTACAGTTCATATTCAGAACCCCATAAATAAATTAGGAGTATTAACATTTGTATTAAACAATAATCGTACTTTTTTGAAATATGAAAGGTTTAGCAGTCTTTAACCTACAGCCATACACACTGGAGATAGAAATACTAACCATTACACATTAAGATAGCAACTTTGTTACCCTCTTTAGCTCTGGAAGGTTTTACCCCCCTCATGCCCAGGCCATTTCTTGCTTTTTGGCACTGTGCTGCTTTAACTGGTAATTGCACGATCATGCAGCACTGTACCGAAACGAAATTTATACAAATGTTTTTTCACACAATAGAGGTGTCTTTTGGTGGTATTTGCTCACTACTGGATTTTTTATTTTTTGCGATATAAACATAAAAACACTGAAAATTTTCAAAAGAACAATATTTTTTTACTCTCTGCTAACAAACATATCTAATAAAAAATTTAAAAGTCAAATTTCTTCATAAATGTTGGCCAAAATATATTCTGCTACATCTATGGTAAAAAAAATTTTAATAAGTGTATTTTGATTGGTTTGCATGAAAGTGTCTACAAATAATGGAATAATATATACTGGAATTTATTTTCCTCCTCCTATATGCAAACGACTGGAACAAACCAGGAGGCCATCACAGTCGCCGACACAACACAGCTAGGATCAAGGAGTTCTAAAGATCTGGATTGAAAAAGGGTTAAGCAAACAATGCCTTAATATACCAAAGTAATTAAGTAATTAGTGCCAGATAAACAGGTAAAAAAGAAATGAAAGAGGGTGTAGAAATGGGAATATTACAATATACAGTAAGTTGAGGGAATAATTTATCCCCAGATCCCAAAGGTGGACATAAGCCAAATGATATACAGTAGGGCAAGTATAAGTAGGTATGGCAATCCCAGCCATAGAAAATTAGGTAATACACCAAGAGTTAAATTATTATTTAGGGATGCAATAGAAACAGTCCCCCGAAGCAAAGTATGGCAGGTAGGAGCTCATGTAAACCAAAAATTGATTGATGAACTGTTTTTTTTCAACTAGACTATGTAACTATGTGTAGCACCCTCCTAGTTAGCTAGGGGGAGCTAGACTCCAATTTGTTAGTGAGGGTTGAGTAGCAGCCTGGATGTGATAGGTAGCAGGGGGTCAAATTTTGGTCAGAGCTGAGAGGCTCTGCAGACCAGCCCTCTGGAATTTCCCCCTGCTCTAGAACTCAGGAGAAATGTATAGAAGCAGTGGGTAGATCTGAAGAGTGGCTGGTCTGTACTTTTAGGGAATCCTGGCCAATCCCCAACAGGTGGCTTGGCAAGGGGCCAGGACAACCTTTAAGAATAACTGAGCCTGCTCAGCAGAGGTAAGGAGTCAGGTGGAAGATGTGAGAGAGGAAGAAATGCAGGAGCCTGTGAAGGGGACCCAGATGGGAAAGGGGCTCACTTCCAGGCAGAGGTCCATCTATGTGGCAGGGAAGGTGCATACCAGCTAGAAGGCCTGGTAGCAGCCACTGACCCACCAGCAACACAGGAGTAGGACCAAGTGAGTTGACCTGCACCCCCTGGGATAGCAAGGGGAAAGAGGCACTCCGGTGGGAAACTGGATTAGCTTTTTACCCAGGACTGTTCACACTGCAGATTCACTCAGTACAGCTCGATGAGGAGAGGAATAATCTGGGATCTGGGGCAGTACTGTGGAAGATGCTGGCTGGCTAGCTCTCCAGAAGAAATTTTGCTGTAAAGACTTGTACATAGTTGCTACGGAGTTTGTCCTCTGTTACCATTGTCCTTGAGTATCCCATACACCCCCTCAGCCCATCCAAGTTCTAATTCCCCTAATAAAATTTCAAAACAAGCCTAAAGACTGGTTGCTGTCTCAGTGTGCAAGTGTGGAAGAAGAAAATGTGTGTTGTTGCATGGCTGTACAGGACTATAGGGTGACCCAAACTTCCACGACTCCTAGGGGGTAGTGCCACACATGTTAACAGTTGGAAGAAATATGATGAAGATGTCATTATAGTGGATGT